CGCGTGGAAGGAGCTGAGTGCGCGCAGCAAAGGGCCTGGAGCGTGCGCTTCCACTTCGACTTGCGGCCAATCAGACCGAGCCCCCCCCCCCATTTCGTGAAGCAGAGCAGGCGAGCGATGCCCCGGACGTTGCCGTAGGGAGAGGTGGGCACCGAGATCAGTGCCGACGATGCGGAAGCCATGCTGAGCAGGATGAAGAGGCACAGCACGGGGAAGAACAACGCAATGCCGTGTACGGATTGTGGCGCCGGCTCGCACCACAGCATGCGGTACAAGTTGCTCATGTGCGAGTCGGCGACCTGTAGCGGCGTCACCTGCTCGTGGCGCGGCAAGGTCCTCGTTTGTTCCGACAGTGGTGAGTTCTACATCTACGAGCTAGGTGATCACTTCACCGCCTCCTCCTCTCCCAAGCGTGCTAGGCTGTCTGGAAGGCAGAAGGAGTTCTGCCGTGAGCTCGCCAATCAGCGGCTGCGACCGCTGCGCATCCAGCACGCGATGGCCCGGAAGTTCCAGCTTCCTGCGGACGACCTCCCTCCCTTGGACAAGGTGCAGAACTTCTGCAATCACTACTAGAAGACGGAGCTCAAGAACCACGACCGGCTGTAGGACCTCACCCAGTGGATCCACAGCCGAGCGTACACCGGGAGCGAGGGCGACCACGACACGTTCACCTTTGCGTGGGATCTCGATGAGAGCGGGAAGCCAATCATCGGCGACGGTTCAGACGAGGATCCCTTCGTTGTGGGGCTGACAACAAAGGCGTTGGTGCGAAGGCTCACCTTGCCCTCCGAGTATTACGTATTGCACATGGACGCCACCTTCAAGATCAACACCGCGGAGTATCCGGTGATCGTCATCGGCATTTCCGATCGTGCGCGCAGCTTTCATCTCGTGGCGTTGTTTGTGGTGTCCCAGAGGCTGCAACCAATTTACGAAAGCTGTCTGGCAGCGCTCAGCCGGCTCTACACCTGGATCACGCAGCAGATACTCATGCCGCGATACGGCATGGGCGACGCTGAACAAGCCCAGCGCAATGCGGTTTTCACAGTGTTCCAGAGCAACCCTGGCATGGAGTATCTGATGTGCTTCTTCCACGTCATGACCAATGTGGAGAAGCACATGAATGGATTTCTCTCGCACGTAGCGGGTGCATTAGTGCGAGGGCTGTATGACATGCATTTCGCCCGTGACCAGACCAGCTTTTCCTATCTGCGGGACCAGCTCTTGTGGACCTGGAGGAACTACCCGGGGCTGGTGGACTTCTGCGACTACCTAGAGGCGCAGTGGCTGCGTGGACCGTTCTCATTGTGGCAATGCTACTCAACGCCGAGTGGCTTTGCCACAACGAACAATCCTGTTGAGCAATTCAACAAGGTGTTGAAGCGGGATTATACGTTGCGGCGGCGCCTAAAGATGGGCATGCTGTTGAAGGAGCTGAGTGACTGCTGCATGCACGAATCGGCCAGGCAGCGACCATTCCTAACGGAGCCTGAAGCGGCACCCACGCTGACTCGACGCGTGGTGGAGCTCGTTCGGGAGAAGTTGCTCTTAAGGAACTGCGACGCGGACAGCGTCGTGGGGGACGCCGGAGTCGTCCACGTCTTCAAGTATCCCGCGAAGCGCATCGTCGTGGAGGGGGCCAAGCGAGCCACGGAGGAGGCGATTGCCGTCTCAACCCAAATGGGCGTCAATTACGCCAGGATGGAAGTGCAGAACGAGCCACCGTATGGGTGGCCCGTTCAGTTACGGAGGAAGTGGTGTCCCTGTAATTACTCCTTCAAGTTCGGCACCTGTGTGCACCTTATTTTCGCGCTCCGGGCTACGGATCGCATGGATGGAGCAGGTCGGCGCATACTCGTGAGCAGACGCATTGGACAGAAGCGTGGAGCAGCAGGCACCGACGCTGCGGGGGGTCGGCCGCGAGCAATCGGACCTGCACTATCTGCAGACTGACCCAGCACTCGCGGATGGGCACGTAGGAGAGGATCTATAGCGGCACGGAGTCTGACTAGGGCCAATGCATATTGAACAAGTGAGTATATCCACAACAGAGCTTAAAGTTTTCCTGCACTTGAACTACGTTAATTTTTCTGCAAGATTGTGTTGGGCGACGTTGCCGTCCTGCAGGCTCGGGTCCTACCAGCACTTGTTGCACGCGCACTTGAACCAGCGCTGGCTACCATAATGGACAGTCACTTGGGCGCCTGCAGACACATTTTTTATCCTCTTCACTAGCACGCGGACTCTCGACCGCGTCTGCTGCTCGATAAAAGCTGCGTTGGGCTCGCAGGCGTGCGAGATGAACCTCGTGATGGAGCCGCAATTCAAGGCATCCACGTAGACGAAGTTCCTGTTGACGGACTTCGCGTTGTACAGCAGCGTGTAGCCACTGTTCTCCATGACGGCTTCCCGTGGTTGCCCTTCCACCACTGCGGGGAACTTCATCAGCTCCCCGTAGTACTCGCCCAGGACGTCGCCGACTTCGAGATCCGTGGTGGTGTACACCTCGAGGCCTACCCGACCGGTGTCGAAGAGCTTCAACGTGTCCAGCGTCCGCGGTGCGTTGCTGCGCCTCGCCCCGAGCTTGCAATACTTCGGGGTGCAGAACGACGCGGACGCCACGTTGGAGCACGTATCCCAAAAACAATCGCCGAAACACTTGCATGCGTCGACTGCCCCGATGTCCGGGAACTTAACGCCGTTGCGCTTGCAGCTCGAAATGGGCTCGACGTCTGACGGCCATGGCACCGTCTTGAGGAGCGTGCGAGCCTGCTTCGCTGCTGGATCCTGGAACACATCCCGTCTAGCGTGCAGAGTCTCCAGCTGCTCTCTCACCTCAGGGCTGTTCTTCAAGGCCTTGAACTTGACGGCCTGTAACGTCTTCGCGTGGTAGATCTCCGAGCCGCTCTTGGTGATGGCGCACTTTGCCAGATAGCGGCGCTTTCTCGGTCTCGGGACGTGCCATTGCGCTCGCGTTTTCTTCGCCTGGTGGCGGATCTTGGCCCGGGCGTGGTGGCTCGGAATCGCCCGCACATACACAGCCGCCTCAACTTCGCTTGCTGGACTTGGTTCGGCAGACTATGCACCGGAAAGCACTCCACTCTCATCACACGACGACACCAAGTCGATAATCTCCCTAATAGACGATCTTTCGTACGCTTGCTCGCTTCGTGCCTTCTTCTCCGACCGTGCTGGAGCTTTACCACCGCTCGCTGTCGCCGCCAACGGCCGGGTTGGAGTGCTGGGCAGCTCCACCTGGCTCAAACTCGGCGCTGGCTCGGGAGAGCTGCACGCGCTGCTCTGGGGTGTCTCCGGAACGATCTCCTCGCTTTTATCACGTAGCGCCTCCCGAACGGACTCTACTGCAGCATTGATTGCCCCGGCAAGCGCTGAATTGAGTGCGCTGGCCCTCGATGGAGCTGCAAACGTCCCTGCGACGAGCTTGAACGTCCGTAGCTTCCTCCAGAGCGAGGCACTGGGGTCTAGCTGCTTTCCAGACGCAGCAATGACTCGCTTCATTATCATGTCGCCCGGGATTACGTCCCCGGTGTCCAAATCGACCGGGAAGTCCACGTCCGCGCCGTCGTCAATGCAAGTGACGACGGCGCGCCGAAAGCCCTTGGGGTCTTCACAGACGAAGGCACGGCAGTAGTACTCGATCGTGTCACCAGCACACAGAGTCTCTGGAGACAGCTCAGAGGCGCTGAGGTCCGGCATGCTGCTCTGGTGTGTGCTGGGGCGCTTGCGGCTTTTCGGGTTGGCGGCGCTGCTGCTGCTCGTCGACAGCTTCCGCGAGATACTGACTGGAGTGTGCCATCTAAAAGTGGCCCAAATTTGGGTGTGGCCCACCCCAGTCAGTGGACCTTGCATGCTCATCCTCGGCGGGAGCACATCGTGCCGGATGCGCCACCCGGCTGTGCGCGCTGCCGCAGCGGGGCGTCCGAGAATGGCCTCTCCGTGCATAGTGTGCTGGGTTTTACGGTGATTTTCAGGCGGGTACAGGTGAACTTAACGTTTTCTCTGCGATTAGAAGGGTTAATTGCACAGAATTTTGGTCTTTTGACAGCCAAAATGAAGGGGTAGGGCTTCGACGTTGCAGAAACGGACGTAAAAATCGTACTCTGCACCCATTTTTACCCTAAATACCTAAATATCGATACAAGTTTTTGGATACCTTAACATTTTAACTACTGAGTCTTTGCTACGGGTCCAACGGGACTTCTAGCAGAAACCAAATACAAATCGTTTTATGTTTCGCTCATAATATGCAAATATTTGTTGGAAAATTATGAGGTAGAGGTCCATGTGGAACCCTTCAGCTTTTGCAAATCCTAGGACTCTATTATACCCAATTGTGGCTTAGAGATGTTATGGTAGAGGTCTATCAGACCGCTGTTGAAGCTCCACAAGGACAGTAACCGGGATATTGGTAGAAATATATTCCACCCGGGCTATCCCTCAGGTGAATACAAACTATGGCAGGCGCTTAACAAGACTTGGAAAGCAAAGAATCCTACGTGGGTCAGCACGCTGAAGAACGTCGATGACAGGTAAGGAACGGGTCTTGGTATTGGATATGAAGCTACCCGCTCTTCAATTCGATCGCATTGGTCCTCGACTCTCATTATAGGAGAGTATATTCGGAATACAAAGCTTAAGTGTCACTACTGTTTGGAACTTCCTGTTCTTGCAACATTTTACTTATGAAGAAAAGAGCCTAAGAAAGGATCTTTTAAAAAAGGCACTTTTCTTCTCAATTTCCAGTTTTATAATCTTAGTATTTTTAAGCAACGGCGCACAGTTTACTCAAGTGCGAATTGGGGGCGAATTCCAATTTGCACTTGAGTAAACTGCTGCACCGTTGTCGGAATTCGAATTCCCACAAACTTGCAGCAGTTTCCTCTCAGCTAAAAACAACTGCATCACGGAATGCTCGTTCGTTACTTTTCCCAGTTGGCAAATTCAATCCAAGGCCAGACTGCAAGAAAGTGGCGTGGGTTATGCTGGTGAACGGCGTGGACATCTCCATGCTGGAAGGCTGGATGATCAAGATCAACAGTAACCCCAGCTTCTTCGGTAAAAACATGAACCGCCGGTGGTTCAAAGTGGGTTTCGTACCTGGACCAGGTTCCGAGAAGAAGCTGGTAATTTCCTACTCCACCAGCAAGTGCGTCTTCGTCTCGTTGCTATGACCATTAAGTGGCTTCATCTCCTCATATTTTACCTGTCAACTCTCAGAACTGCAAAGGATCCGCGTGGATGGCTCTACGTCGAAGATGTTAGCGGCATTTATTGTCGGCGGGTAAGGAACGTATCTGTGAACATCTCGAACCCTTAGTGACCTTGAATACTTTCAGGAAATGATTGAGATCGTATCGCCTTCTCGCACCCTTCGGCTCAAAGGGGAGACTGCTGTCGAGCATCGTCTGTGGTCGGACAGTCTCTACAAACTGTGCCATCCACCGTCTAAGCCTGAACCTACTACGGCGAATACGACGCCAGCAGCACCAAGGCGTGAACGCTCTTCGCACACGCAACGCGAGACAAAGCAGGCTGAAGAAGAAGAGGAGGATCGAGCACAACGTAAACAGCGAGCAGACCGTGACCGAGATCGTCAACGAGAACGTGAACGTGGCCCTGAACGGGAACGTGATCGTCAGCGAGTGTCGAATGAAGAGAGAGAACGCAGAAGTCGATCAGCTCGATCGAATCGACGAGAGGACAGCGACAGCGAAGACGAAAACTATCGACGTCAGGATCGTAGCCGTGGTCGCAGTCCTAGGGACGATAACGAGGAGCGTGACGCAAGGAAACGCCGCTCTCCGTCGCCAACGCATCGCGAGTCGAGACGTCAAGAGCGAGAGTCTTCTCGTCATTCGTCACGTTCTTCTCGTCACGAGAGAGAGGACAGTAGCCACTCCGTATCAGCTCTTCAGCCAAGTGAACAAGACGTCAGTGACGGTGACAGCAGTGGAGACGGTCAAGACAGCTCTCGTCCCTCGACTAACAGCAGTACTCGCAGCTTACTCGTGGCTCAGATCAAGTCGGGGTCATCTCTCGAAGACAGTATGGCTCAATGCAAGAACGTCATGTCCGACAGCGAAGAAGAAGAAGAAGAAGAGGATGCTGACGAGAACCGTCACGAGAATGAGGCAGAAGAAAGCCCTCGTGAGCCCTTAACGTCCTCGACCGATCCGATCGATGACGAGGTTTCTCACGAGCCAATGACCCCGCAACGAATGAACTTTACAGAACCGACAAAGCAGAAGGCCTCGGACTATTTCGATTCGGACGAGGAAGAGCATGAGCAACCTCCGTCCAGAGGCAAAACTAGCCACAACGACCACAAGGCCCCGGAGTCCAGCGTCACAGCCGACAACAACTTCGCTCATGACGACTGGGACGCCCAAGAGGAACCGACATCGCAGCCAGCAGCAACTAAAACGGCTGCATACTCGGTACGGACTTTAGACCAAACTGTCGTTGCTCTCTAGCTTAACTGTTTGTTGTGAAAATCTCGCAGTCGGCTCTTACCGGGGGCGTTGCAGCCGACGCAAACTTCGTGCACGACGACTGGGACGACTAGCGACAAGAGACGCTGAATTCTTTCTCAATAAAAGGAGAAACTTTGCTAGAAAAGAAACATTTTGAGGAAGGTTATATGAGCCCCATCACAGACGGGAGTTCGTGACCACGTGGTGGTACGTCTCGCTCGTTAGCGGTTCATAGATGTCCTTGGATCGGTTGAAGACCCACAGCCGGTCCGCAATCTTGGACGGGTCCATGCCTTCCTTGCGCAGTTTGGCCTTCTCCTGCTTCATCGTGCCCGTGACCGACATCGTCTCGAGTTTCCGGATAATCAGCGGCATGGCATACGACGGCAGCTGCTGCTTCACGAACCGCGCGAACTCTTTCAAGTCGAAAGATTCCTTGTCGAACACCATCGCGGCCATACACGCGCGTCCTTCGTTCCCGGGCACTTGCACTCCATAGATGCAAATCTCACTGAGTCCCGAGAACTTGGACACCGCCTCGGCCACTTCGTTCGTGGCCACGTTCTCTCCCTTCCAGCGGAACGTGTCGCCCACCCGGTCGACGAAGTGCCAGCAGTGTCGCTCGTCTTCTTTGAACAGATCACCTGTCCGGAAATACGTGTCCCCTTTCTTGAATACATCGGTCAGCACCTTCTTGCTCGACTCGTTCGTGTTCTTGTAGTAGCCCTGGAAACCTCTGGCCGGGTCTTTCCTGCTCACCTTGACGATGAGCTCCCCAGGCTCGTTAACGGCACATTGCTGCAGAAATCCCTTCTTCGAGCGGACATAGTCGTCTCTCTCCACGTCGTACTTGACGATGGCCACCCCCGTGACTGCGTTATTGATGAAGCCACGTCGGCCGAGATGGCCCTGGTCGGCCTTGGTCGTGCAGGCATTTAACATGCCCATCGGCCCCTCCGTCGAGCCGTAAAACTCGTATACCGACGGGATACCGAACCGCTCTTGGAATGGGGCCCAAATATCCGGACGTAGCCCGTTTCCAAAAGCTGCACGCACGTGGTTCTCCTTGTCGTTGGCCTTGGCCGGGGCATTGAGCAGGTAGCGACACATCTCGCCGATATACTGGATCACAGTGCAGTCGTAAGCCCGCACTTCGTCCCAGAACTTGGTCGTTGAGAAGCGACGCGATAGACACAAGGTTGCACCGGAAAAGATCATCATTCCTACGGCCAGGTTGCCTCCTGAGGTGTGGTACAGTGGCAGTGCACAGTACAGTCGATCATACATGGACAGGTGCATGGAATACTTGAAGGCCAAAGAGCGCAGGATGATACTGAAGTGGTTCACCCTCGCGGCCTTCGGTAGGCCCGTCGTCCCGCTCGTGTAGATCAGTAGGGCCATGTCGGAAGTCGTCATCTTGCGCCGAATCGACTCGGGCGGCCGCTCTGTCGGCATTTTCTTCAGTTTCTCGTCCATCGAGTGAGCTCGAGGCAGGTATTCGGCCGCGGCCTGCGCTGTCAGTTCTCCTACAATCACAAAGAAGCGCCGGCCAGCATCAGTGCGATGACGGCCACGTAGCCTGGCACCAAGAAACGACGATTCTTACCGTCGCCGTAGATGTGGAAGTCAAAATCGGCCAATGCGTTGGCCACCTCCGCCAGCTTTCCGGCCAGCTCCTGGCCCACGATCATCCACTTGGTGTCTGCGATTTTTGCGCAATGGACGAGTCCGTCGGCCTGCAAGTGTGTGTTGAGTAGCGCCGTGACGACGCCGATCTTGGACAGGCCGAGCCACACAATCACAAACTCGGGCCGGTTCTCCATGAGCAGGGCCACGGTCTGGCCGGCCTGCAAGTTCTGCTGTAAGCCCCAGTGGGCCACGCGGTTGGCCGCCTCGTCCACCTGCTGGAAGCTCAGAGCACGCTGGCCGAACTGCATGCAGGCCTTGTGAGGCCACTTCGCCACGCTCTGCTCGAACAGATCCGGTATTAGTGACCCATTGCGCGCGTGGCGTTTGGCCTGCAGTAGCGCCACAGCCTGCATGCCCGAGTGGTACAAGTCCGACGAGATTAACAGCCTTTGGTCCACATAGTAGCTGAGTGCTGCGACGCCGGCCACGGCCAGGAACTTGGTCGGCACACCGAAGGGAAGGGCGGCCAACGCGTCGGACACGATAGGTGCGCTACATACCGCCTCGGACACGTTGGCCCATGCGCTGACCACGCACGAAAGTGCGTCTTGGGGTAGCAGATCTGCCATCGCTTGAGCTTCTTGGATGCGAATCCGATTTTGACGTGACGCGAAGAAAATTGGAGGTGGCAAAGGACTAGGGTTAAAGTATGCAGGTGTACAGGTATGATGCTAAAATGCAAAGTTTCTGGGTGTCCAGCCAAACGGCCATTGGGCTCGTTGCTCACGGCTTTAGACAATTAAGAATATCCATGCCTTATTATGGAGAAGGAGGAACGCTGTGAGTCTGCGTTACAGGACCATGTGCTTTTGACATGACTTCAACTACATGTAGCGAGTCAAAATTGAAATTTCGCTCCAAAACCATTTTTGTGAATATCACGATAACTCACTTCAACAATCACACGAGCTCCTGTAGCTCAATGCCTTCTGCACACTTCGACGTGTGCAATTTCGAGAGGCAGTTTGAGCTTTCAAATAATAGTAGTAATGACTCAGCAACAGCTGCAGTTGTTGGAGGGATGATTTGCGCAGAGTTGTTAGGGCAGTACAGTACGGAGTGAGGACAAAAGTAGAGTGGTCTAGGCGGCCATAGTGGAGAGGAAGTCTTGAGTGTAGAAGGAGAAGACGCTTGTGGTGGACTTGGTAAAAGAAGAAGTGATGAATTATAGAGTCTGGTGTTCTGGAGGGGAGTTACTCTCCACCAACCAGTCCAGTTATATACGATTTCTCTATATGAAATAGTACAGTTATATTCCACTAGATAGTCATCATCACATCGGAGATGCTTACTTCGACAGCCTCCCACATCGAGGAATGTGTATGATGCTCTATCTGTCGAGTAGTATTAAATGTACCACAGGTGGCTGTTTATAACAGTCCTGTACGTACATGAGCATTTACAAGAAGTAGATCTTGTTTTGATATTGATGATCTTTTTCCTTTGACTTTCATTGTCAGATTTGTCACCTTGTGCCGTTTTGCTTTGGCAATAACTGTGCTGATTTCTTGTTTTCATTGTTATTTTGGCTACTCAGGAAAACCTTAGAGCATCTCCACCGGTGGGGCTCTATATCTATATAGCGACTGAAGAGCTCAAATTGATAACTACTGGGGTTTCACCAGGCGTCTCTATCGCCAATTTTTTAGCTACCGGGGGGTTTCGGTCGCTATTTCGGACGCCATAGCGACTGAAATCTATAGGAGGTTGGATCACTTGCAAACGAACAATGCCTCGAGGAAAAGCTTGGTCGGACAAGGAAGACGCCGCCCTGTGCACGGCGTGGTGCGCTACCCAATCGCAGGGGCCGATCAGAGGGCGGACAACCTTTGGACGCTAATCTTGCAGTCATACTGTACGATAGTAACCAGAGATGCTTGTGCGGCGATACTTCGCCGCACAAGCATCTCATTAGCCGCAGTGAAGTCTCTGTCGACATTTGCAGCCTTGCCGGGCTGTGAACCGCCGTGTTTTCTCTTTTTCGGTGCGCGAGGGGTCAAAAGTAGCGAGCAGACGTACGCCTCTTCCTCGTCGTCAAGAGCTTCTCGCAGAAGACGATTTCTCCACATAGCGACAGATTGGTGAGTGATGCCCCTCGGTGTCTATCGCTAAAAACATTCCGGCCAATCGGAAGGCAACGAGTCTATAGATATAGCGACACACCGGTGGAGATGCTCTTAGAGGATTAAACCTGTTCACCGTAGTGATTGTTGTTGTTATCGTTTTAGTTATTAATATACGAATTTGTAGCAGCTACTTCAGGGAAAATGTGACGGGGTCACACAGCACCTTGCGCTAGAGGAAGTTATCTTCCGAGAGTATACAAACTCTCAGTGAACGGCAGTTCACTGGTCCCCTCTTTAATTAAAGAGAGCGAAGTGACCTAAATAAGGTAGATTGTAAACTGAGTATATTTATAGGTAGGTTAAGTTTGTGGTTAATACAAACTATCAGTTACCTATAGAAATGCAATGTCATTTAACCAATGGTTGGTTTTGAATGACCTTGGTACCTTGTACCAAATATCCCGGAGTATGACATGTCATACTCCTGAAGTGTGAAGTGTCACACTTCATGTAACCAGGGTACACTTAGTGCTACGTACCCCGTTACATCCTCCCCCACTTAGGTTCGGTTTACCGACCAATCAGAATGAAGAGATGTTCGTCACAAACTCTCATTCTCAAAGTCGAAAACCATCGACTCGGCCGCGCGAGCGCGGCGGAGGCTCACTTTACAGTTAGAGCCTCGAGCAGCAACCTGTGCGCTCTTCGTCAAGGTCTCCACTTCGACCGTTAACATGCCTCGTGGCACTGCTAAGAGCGGTGCTAAGACACGCTCCAAGGCTGCAGCCGGTAAGGCGCAGGCCAAGAGCACTAAGCCTCACGGCAAAGGCTCTGCACTTAAGGAGGCTACTCAGGTGGCCTCCGAGGCTATCGGATCCTCGGGTGACGCGGCTGCGGACAAGCGCGCAAGCAGGCGCCGCAGTCCGTCGCCCTCGTCTTCAGACAATCGTCCGAACCCTCGGTTCGTAGAACGTGAGTTCAACTCGGGCAGTGAGGACGATGCCGAGTCCGAGAGCACTCATGATGCTCCTGCGGGCTCTGTGGGAGGGCACAGCCCAGTGCCCAGTGAGCACAAAGAAGACAGCGTGCAGTCGTCCGCTAGTGATCACGGTGATCACAGTCCCAGGACCTCTGTGCGCTCTGAGAGTCCCGGCCGTTAAGGACTAAGGGCACTCCCAAAGCCGGTGGCGATGAGGAAGGGAGTCCTCGCAAACGTCTCTCGCTTGCCGAGGGTCTTGCGCGCGCTAAGGCCTCTAAAGCCGAAGGCGCCAAGCCCTCAAAGAAGCGTACCGCCTCTAAGTCTCCACTCCGCGAGGAGAAGGAGACTCGACGCTCCTATCAGAGTCTCTTCGGCTCCTCGGATGAAGAGGAGGAGAAGGAGGAAGAAGAGGAAGAGGAGGGTGCCATTGTTGAGCCCCGGGAGGTCTCGAATGACCTCGACCAGCAGCAGGAGGATTTCCAAGCTGCCCAGCGTGTGCGTGGGGGTTCGGTGGCGGCACCCGTCAGCCAGGGAGCTGCCATCAACTCAAGAGGGTATTGGCCTCCCGAGGAGAGCTCTGGGGCTGACCTCTTCTTAGAGCTTCTCGTCGCTCCTCGTGGCCTTGTGGGCGGCCACACTTCTAGGGGCATCTATGAACGAGCCCTTGTTCAGAAAGAACAGTTGTTCGTCGACAACGTGGAGGCTGCTCGGTGTGTGCTTCTCGCGCCACACCGCATTCCCCTTAAGGACTTCACGACTTGTCGTAAGAAGCCCGAGACCCGGGGTGGTCTCTATCCTGTTTGGGGATACCCCTGGGTTATGCCCGAGAACTGTCCCACATGGAGTTCTTGTGAGGACATGTTCTGGGCGTGGGTGGAGACTCTCAAGTACTCGCCCACGGAGTTATGGGAACTCCATGAAGATCAGCAGCTGTCCCACATCCTGGACCAGCGTGATCTTCGTGTGAGGTTTGCCCACTTGATCAGCAAGCGTATGCTGCCAAGGGACATCCTGAAGCGCGCGGCTTCTAGCGCTCACGATGAGCGCGGGTACGGTATGTATTCATCATCCGTACCCCGTTCGGGCAAGAATCCCCGGACTACTTATGAAGCTGCCGCCGCTTCTGTTCCCAGATTGCGACAGCCTTCGGGCAGTCAATCAGGAGCCGTTCAATCGGCTCCCACGAGTTCTCGGAGTGGGCATAACCCCTCCACTTCACGAGGAGCTGTCGCTTCCCGCGACACCGTTGCTCCTGGAGGATCCGCTCCACGTGGAAGTGGACTTCTCCATTCCGGTCAAGCAGGGGCGGAGGTGCCCTCGTACGAGTACGAGTACTCGGCGCCTCCCGAGAGCCACTCTCGTTCGAGTGCTCCGACTGCGGGTCCGACACGGGACCCTGAGGTTGACCGCCTCCGTCAACGTCTCCTCGTGCTTGAGATTGCACTTGGCCTTGGGACTGGCGGTAATGCTGCCGCCCAGGTCGGGAATCAGGGCGAGCTCGCTCGTCTTGCGGGTCGCCTGGACCTGGTGGAGCGAGAGGTCGCGAGCCTGCACCTGCGGGTGGACCGCCGGGCCTCTTCGTCCGATCTGGACGAGGCCTTTCGCATGATCCGACGGATCGAGGCTTTGTTGCCACGTCCGGAGCCGCCTGCGGCACACTCCCAGACGTACGCGTATGGTGCGTACCCGGCGTACTCAGCGTACTCGGCGTATGGCGCCGGGGTCCGTTCGTATGGAGCCCCTCCGGCGTACGGTCTTGACCGCAGCCTTGCCGTCCCGACCGAGGCTTGGGTGCCTGCTCCGACGCCCTCGTCGACGACTGTGACCGGCCCTCGCTTCGAGGAGCTGGGTCAAGGGGGGTCTGCGAGTCAGCAACCCCCTGCGGGTCAAAGTACCGCTTAAGACGTCCGACATAGAACGTCGGGTGCGTCGTCATTGACTTTGGAAGGTCGATGGTGTACGACGCACCATGTCTGGCCAGGACTGCAAAAGGTCCGATGAAGCGGTGCTTCAGCTTGTTGCTGCCGACAGAGCTAACAGTGTCTAGAGGTAGGTTCCTCGTGTCTAGTAACACTAAGTCACCAATCTCAAATATACTTAAGTTGCCTCTTCCTTGTTTGTCCGAGTACTCCTTTTGTTTATCTTGGGCCGCTGCCATGGCATCGCGGACCCTGCTGACAATGTTCAGCTTGGTATCCATAAAGGATTCCACCTGTTTCCGCAGCGAAACTGGCCTCACATCCGAGACCTGGGAGGAAAGGGCTTTCCGAGCCTCTCCCCCACTTAGAATAGAGGAGTCAGTGTTTCCTCGAAGAGTGAGAGGCACTCTGGGGTGGCGGAAGCCGTTCAAGTAGAACGGCGTGAACCCCGTGGACGCGTGCACCGCGTTGTTGAGCGCAAACTCAACAACTGGAAGCTGCGTCGACCACGTACGTGGCGCTGCCGCGCACACACTGCGCAGAGTGTCCTCGAGCACTCGATTGACGCGCTCTGTTTGGCCGTCTGTCTGCGGATGATCCGCAGT